GGGACTTTCAAACCTCTAAAACTTGGAGACAAATAAAACTCTTTCYTTTACAAAATACCCAGCTTCCCGTATTTTGTTACAGCAACTGAAAATGGATTAATGCACATCTTGTGCCTCATTTTCTCCATTTGTAAAATGGGATGATAACAGGAGCTACCTCCTCATAGGATAGGATTTGCATGAGGATAAAATAGGTTAATGTTCTTAAAGTGCMAACACAGTGACTGGCACCTAACAACGACCGTGACATCTTAGCATTTAATGTTACAACATTTGAATAACGTTTTAGGAAACGATAGGAGGTTTTTCCCCTGGTGTTTTTCCACCCACTCGGAGCCCTAATCTGCATCTAAGTAGAGAAGTTCATGAAGAAAATAAGTGGAGGAGGAAGAGAAGCAGGGGAAGGAGCCTCCTGGCRCTGGTATATCTGGGCTTTGGGAAGAAAAGGAAGGGTTTATGTTGAAGACAGAAGATTGGAAAGAACTATGGTGAAGGAAATCGTATCAGTGGTTGCAGATGGTGAAAGGGTTAACTAGACAAGGGATATGAGAGGACTTTTCAGGGTGGTGGAACGTTATGAGTCTTGTTTGATTGGCAGTGACGTTTGTCAAAACACAGGCTTCAAATATGTGCATCTTACTGTATGCAAATCACACTCCCACCTCGAGTCTCCAGTCTGCAGGGAGGGGAGATGGCAGTGGCAAGAAGTTTTGAATAYGCAGACAAGGTCTGGAGAGAGAGGAGCCCTCCACCTCATCCCCAAGGACCCCCCGGGAGGTGGCAAAAAAAAAATTGGGGGACTCTAAAGAGCAAAAGCTACCTGGACAGTATTTCCTAGTAAAAGCTCCAGGGAGRTTTCAAGAAACCAGAGGCCAGGGGTGGTGGTGCACACCTGTAATCCCATGACTCGGGARGCCGAGGCAGGAGGATGGCACATTAGAGGCCAACCTCAGTAACTTAGCAAGACCCTGTCTCAAAACTTAAAATTTAAAAAGGTCTGGGGATGTAGCTCAGTGGTAGAGCACCGCTGGGTTCAATCCAGTATCATGCAAAAACATAATGCTCTGATGTTTATGATCGAGGTCATGGACTTTGAAGACAGCTACCTGATCCCAAATCCCAGCTCTGAAAGTAGTTTTGAGTGACCACAAGTGAGTTGCTTAGACGTACTATGCTTCAGTGTCTTCGACTGTGAAGTGCATAAATTGTAATTTTACCTAATTGTAGTAGTATCAGGGCTCAGAGTGGGTGGGAAAATACCATTAAAGTTGTTTACAAATATTCCAACTTTCCTTCTGGATACTCACAGGTGAGACCTTCTTTCCCTATCACCTCCAAGGGTAGGAGTGCTCATGTGACTTGCTTTGTGAGCATAAAGTGAAAACTCGGAGATGATTTGCYTCCTGCGTGATCACTGCTGAGCTATGGAGACTCTCTGTTACTGCAGCAAAACCTAACCTCTCCTGGCTGATACACGGATCTGTAGAGTTGTGAGGACTACATATGCTAATACATGCAAGACGTAAGGTGTTTGCAAGACAGGCACTATCTTAGAGTCATTCAGTTTCCATGGAAGAGACAAAACTGAGATTTGCAGAGGTTGAAAAACACCATCAGCACTTGAACTCAAATAAAACACATCTTCTTCCCTTTCACGTGATACTGTCTCAGCAAGAGCCTGCAATTAAGTTTCAATAACTCAAAAGGAATTACAAGTTCTCTCTATCCTGGTAAGAAAAGGAGGGGTGAATCCTGGAAGCAATGCAGAGTGGTTCTCAAGGGTTCGGCAGGGACAACTCACGTGCTCAGCAAAGGAATTGATGATGACCAAGTGAGARTAATTCTCCTGGCAGAACTTCCTGGCTTCGTCCCATGACTTGGTGCTGGGAGAAAAGTAGTAACACCTGCCCTCAAAGGGGAGCCAGCCCTCAGGGCAGGTGATCCTGGTACAGTCTGGGGACAAGAGAGATGCTGTCAGAAGGCTTCAGAGTCTGTGTACCTAGTATGCCCCGGACAGTTGTTCAGGCTGTGCAATTCTCAACTCCAGTCAGCACCGTTCTCATAACTTCACTAAAAAYCATTTCCATGAAGTCCTGCAACCTGCTGCTCCGGCCATGTCCCTCATCTCKGGGTGGTTCCCCAAACCCCACTCACCTAACAAACCCCGAAGTTCCACCAGGGACTGGTTGGTGTCTGCTCTGACACGGTCAATGTCCTTCTTCAGGCCAGCCAGCCCCGCCATGCCAGTCACTGTCAGGAGAGATCAAGGGTCGGGAACCCAGAACCACACCCTCCTGCCCACCCACTACCCCCCACTGACTGCTCCTCACTGCATCCCGGGTCTCGTGGGAAATGGCAGAATTCAAAACCCACGTTCTCGGGGTCCAGGGGTCCTGGGGTGGCTTAGAGGGGGATCCACCCCTGGGGACTTGAGGCTAAAGGGAGAGGTGAGCTTCCTGGAGACGAGTTGGACATGAGGATGGGATTGGGAAGGGGGTGGAGAYGGGGCTCAGGAAGAGGGTGATCTGGCACCTGCCAGGGGAGGAGGGAAAACAGGCAGGCAGGGGCGTCCCTCTTCCTTTAGACTCTTCTGTGATGTCCAAAACTCTGTATTCACTGGTAATATGTGACTCATGACCCCCTACCTGCGCTGTCCAAGGGAAAGTAATGTGAACCAAGCCACGTGGTTTTTATTTTATTTTTTTTTAGTTTTAGATGGACACAATATCTGTATTTTATTTATTTTATATGGTATTGAGGATTGAACCCAGTGCCTCATGCGTGTGAGGCCAGCGCTCGGCCACTGAGCGACAGCCCCAGCCCAAGCCACGTTTGTAAGTCAAAAAGAAACCGGTAAAATTAACTTGGATACTGTTTTCACTCGTCCCTCTGTGTCCACGCTACATTATCATTTCAATCTGCAACCAGCATTTTCAAAGTATTGGTGGGATAGGTTCCATTCCATGTGGGAACAAGTCTTTGAAGTCCGTGTGTGAGTCACGGTGACAACACACACCCCA